TGAAACATATGCACTTTACTTCCGATGCATTTGAAGAGCGTCCGCTGTTTCGCCTGAACTCAACAGTCGGCTAGGATCAGACAAACAGAAATGTTTTCTGAGATTTCGTCCAGTAAGTCACTCTGAGCTAAAAACTGAGGCAGTGCACAACTGAATTTCTTTCTGGGACGATTCAAAGCAGTGACCTTCCGGCTAGCATTTGAGGATTAAACTATTCTGCAACGAAAGAGTGATAAACCTTCAGACGGGTTCGTCCAGTAAGTCACTCTGAGCTAAAAACTGAGGCAGTGCACAACTGCACGAATTTCTGGGACGATTCAAAGCAGTGACCTTCCGGCTAGCATTTGAGGATTAAACTATTCTGCAACGAAAGAGTGATAAACCCATATTCAGACGGGACCTACCATCATTTGACCTTGAATGACGGAATTCCCATGACGTGTTGACTGAATGCGACTTAATCATACCACTGATCAGCCCCTCAAGGCAGAACGAACGCTTAGCCCCAAGGACAAGCCCGTGAGTTCAAATCCCTCCGGAGATTCATGAGACGCATATTGCTGACTACCAACAAGGACGTGCTCCTCGGCACGGGGTGATTTCATTTACAGGATGAGATCTCCAGTGAGATTTCTAAACTTCCTCGTACTGTCGGAAAACTCAGCAAGCGTAATTTCGTTTCATGCTCCAGTTTCAACAAGCACTTTAACTGTGGCATTTTTCAGCCTACGGAACTATGCGTATTTACCAAGCTAAATCGCGGACCAAACCGAGTCCAGTCCCATGATATGGAGGGATAGTGTATTATCGGTGCTTAGGTAGACAATCAGGTTATGAATCCACGTCGGTGAAATAAGGCAGTTCATTGTGATGAAAGAATCAGCTGTCTAGAGAACTGTCTCCTCTTCGATTCTCGAGAGGTTGATGATGTAGCGTAAAAAGTTTCGGTGGAAAGACGAGCGTGCCAACGTTGTACCTTATACTAAGATTATCCCCTCTTGGGGATTCACGGTGCGAGTGCACCATTTACATCCCCAGGTTAATCATCCCATAGTGAGACAAGAAAAGGTCACGTTAGATCTCACAATCGCGTGTTGAGTTATTCGAATTCAGAGCAAACAGATGGGAGATGCTTGCTATCTGACGAGAAGTGTTTTGTTTGGGAAAACATAGTGAACAGGCGTAACAGGAACAGATAGACAGAAAATTACAGCAATGGACACAGCTGTGGAAATAGTACTAAGAGGAAGATGTGGTTTTACCAAACGACTCATGTTTTAAATGAAAATTACGAGTTGTTGACGTGTGAGAACGGTATATAAAAAGTGAATGGATGTGAAGGGATGGACAATGCAAGTAGGTGGTCACTATCGGAGGACTGATGGTTGAGTACAGCATGTACGGTGACAAGACAGGAGGGTAATCCAAAGTGCAGTCTGAAAGCTGCGCTTGCTAAGAATGCGGGAATGACAAGGATAAGGAGAGGACATCGCGGAAGAGTGGTGGAGCAGCAAGGGGCCACAAAAAGACCCACACGGCCGGTCAACAGTAAATGCAATCTGCCCGAGGGAGATCGGAAAAGGGTCGTGAAAACGATGGTACTGGTACTCGGAATAGATACACAGAGATGGAGAAACACGCAGGTGTACCGGACAAGAGAGTTATCGTTTTAGTCTTGCACCGGCCGAAGGGATTTGCACTGCATTCGTGTCTATGTAGTATTCCTGAGAAGGTTAGGAACCGAGAGCTTCGCGATGGTAGGAAATGCCTGAAACGCAAATGGAAGGAAAGTTGGTGTAGATGTAGATGTGGGTGCGGTGTGGACCAGACAGTTCCTATTTGGCTGAAACAAGCATGCATAAGTACGGACACACTGCGAGTAAAAGGGACTGTCCTGGGATGCAGTTTGTCGCTATGGTTTCACGGTAATTTCTAAACAAAACTGTTAACCTTTAAGGACCAGAAGCGCTTATTTTCAGAGTGCATCGCCAAGATGGGAAAAGAGAAGTGAATAAAAATATTCGTAAACAAAGCGCTCGAACGAACCTACAACGCGACAGAAAATCCGAAAAACGTCTTTGCCCTGGTCAAAACACCCATAAAAGTGCCGTCAATAATAACTTATATTTACCAAATCACCTAATGCTGTAGTGAATTCAACTAAAATTCGAAAAGCACGTCAATAAACATGTCCTTAACTACATTACAAATAAACTGAACCAGGGCATTCAGAGTAATCTTACGTTTGGCCGGAATCCAGCTTTTTCCCCTACCAGATACAATCCTGGTCAGCAGATACGAAACATGTGAAAGGCTTCGTTTGATGACATTTCTAGAGGCTTTGATTAGCAAACGTGCTAGGCCAGGATTATGTACCCGAAAAGACTTGAACGTAGTGTCGCATGAACGAGATCGCCACGGTATGCAGTCCTCGTAGTGAAATTGTTTTTTCTACAACTTTTCATATGGATTTGTAAGCTTAATCATAACTAGGTGACAAGTATTGTGGTTGGGAAGAGTGCTTGAGATAGCATCGGCTCTCAAAAGCTGTTTATTCAAAAAGCACCTAGAATCTACTTGCGCGAACTCCCCTCATTTTTGTGGATGTAGCGCACCTGTCACAAAAACACCAGGGGGACAAGCTGTGTTATATTTGCTCGACACAAAATATACTTCGATGCCTCAGAAGTCATGTTAACTGAGACATGAGGCGGCCCTTGTGCAGCTCACCCGATTCAAAAATGCCACAGACAACAGTTCCAGAAGAGCCCCTCGTTAACACCAAAGTAACAGCAAATGAGCGCATTTCGCCGCCTACCTATAAAATGGTGTTCAAGCAAACACAAAGGTTGAGGGAAACTCGGAGACTACGCCAAGCCTGATGAGCACCAAAACGGAACAAACCTATAATGAGTTGTCGAAAGCTTTCTAGCATTCTTAAAAATAGTGTTTTGGCAAGGAAACGTGGTAGATGGTTCACGCTATCATCCGTGAGGTACCACCGTCCGGCTTGCAGAAACCTTATCTGGTTTGACACTACAGTGTGATGCCGGTACGAAACTCATTAAATTGAAACTAAGTGAATATCTCGTTCCACTTTCTCATACGGGTTCAGTCTGCAACGTATAAGCACACAGTTGATCCAATAGTACTTAAAGCCTTGGAAGAGAAGAGTGGGCGAGGGAGGGGACTTGGTGCTGGCCCATCGCAAGCAGTCTGCACATGCAAGCGATCAGTCAGACAATCTGGAAAGAAACTGATTACACGAACGCCAATGACATCGATCAGCCACCATTTCTTGCGCGGTAGAGGTTAAGGGGACATAATCCTGGAAGGCGCATCGCACCAACAACAGCCAAACTCTGTGTAATCTTTTACCCCCTTCTGCCAAGTCATGCGTTATCCAACTCGCGGTTTCCGCCATTCTGAAGGAGGCACAGGGGATAACACTCGTCTCGATAGACGGTGTTTCGGCAAGCGTATCACATGGCGGAGACACAGCGGTTGATGGTGGTGTTTTCCGCGGTTGGAGTACCTGCTGCACCTGACAGATGGTAAGCATCAATGCAGAGAAAATCCAACGTATGAGCCGCTTGTTGTCCTGCTTGTTTCATTATAGGCAGCTAAGTAGACCGGCTTTCGGGGCTTGAAAGCAAACTTCGAAGAGTCTAAGTTTTTTTATACTGAAGTCAGGCACGCTGAAGTTACAGCCAAACGTGATACACGGCGAACAAAGCGGCCAGTCCTAGTGCACCAAGAAATCCATGCTTTTAGAGTTTAACTAACACAATCAGCCACGGCCTGTTTCTCCTCGCTTTATCCAATACGTCACACAATTGGAGATCTCCCCTGTTGGAAAACGTACATATTTCTGTCCAGTATTTTCCTCTGCATATCGCTCATCCTTCCTCGAAATTTTGGGTTTGTCTAGCCTTGCTGATTCTTAACACGAGAGCCCGATATGTTCGGAGCACGTTGTACAGATGGCAAACATCCCATTTTGTTCCATCTTTTTTCTCCTAGGTTCATAAACTGGTGTTGTCTATTCAAACCGGGAGAATCCCATGATCCATCGCACATCCAAAAGTGCCTTCTGCTCGGATCCAAAAGCTCTTGAATCGACTTTAACCACTGCGATCATGAGAACAATAAACTTTTGAGTAACAAACGAAATGGGTTCATATGTCACCGTTCCATGAATGATAAATAGTACGCGTTTGATTTTCCTATCTTGACTTAGTTGACGAAACGAATGTGTTCGTCTCAATGTATCGAAAGTGTGACCAGATGTGGGATTCGGACATCCATGCAAATCTCTTATCTACGGACCGCACCCGGACGAATGGACGGCGTTGACTCCGAGACCCGAAACATCAGTATTGGAGTTGTCCAAGGATTTGTACTCCAAACCCATTCCTCCCTTGTGGGAACGCTCTACCACTGTCCGTCACCTCACCTACTCAGATATTTGCACATTAGGCTGTCCCGTATCATACTTAATCGTTGCACCCCAAGTGCTTCATTCGGATTCAAAGTGGACAAGCCATTACTGCTTTGAATACCAGCAGTCCCATGCACCAACGTTCCACCATTCCAAGTCCCCCTCCATGGGTCCCTCCCCCTTCATCATTACACTTCCACTAGAAACGTGTTCACCGAAGTCACCACCACTCCTTTTTGTTCTCTCCTATTGATTTTTGATTTTCTGTTGACTTATCCTTATTGATGCATGTCAAAGGGATCATGACCGAGCATTTAGAATGTTGATTTTCTATTTCTGGCGTGCGAATATTTCATCTTAGCTCAAGTTCTTTTTTAGTCCTAAGTTCTACCTACCCTGGAGTACGGCCCCATGTTTGAGGGCTTCTTACCTGACCCTTTCCTGTTTCCATTCAGCAATAACTTTCCACCATCAGAACGTAGGAGCTTCATTTATATTTCGTCGCTACTATAACGATGGATGTTCACCAGAGCTTGTTACTTCTCTCTCCAACTGTCTTTCAACCAACCGACTGGTCTTTACTTATCCGACTAGCTCCATCAGGGTAATTTTTACAGGTTGCAGAATTAAACTTTTTTAAGGGCCACTCCACTCCTGATGATCTTCGCGATTTAGTTCAGTTGGACAATCTAGATAGGAACTGACAGCATGAACGGCAGCGATATCGAGTAGCCGTGTCACTGTGTCCAGCCAGGTACAGAGAGGGTCACGTGGGTTGTACTCTGGAAGGCAGGTAGCGCCGACATCAGAACTTTTTGTAAGACTTGATTCTCTCTTACCCTAACAAATTCTGTCCATCTCTAGGTTTCCCTCTCTCCCGACTAGGTACGCTTTTCTCGATAGACGATAATTTGGCATCCGTAATAGGTTACCAAGCCATTGCAGTCTTTGGTACAATACAATATAATAACCAAAAAACTGCCTCCTGACCATTTCGCTGTGGAGTAATTGCTTCCATCTGATTCCAACTATGGTTCCCAGACATCGATACTCAAAGACCTGAGAAAGTTAGTAGTTGATGAAGTGGCTGTTGGTCTGTCCGCCGAATTTAAAAATCGACTGGAGGGCGCGTCTGGTCACCAACTGAGAGAACATCATCTGTGCACACACTGATGTGGTTTATTTGCGTTTGGGGTCGACTAACGTGTGCAGGGTTTCATATGGCCTGCGGTTCTGTTTGCTTAATCAGTTAGTGATACGCAGAAATAGGCTGTGATTGGCCCATAACCATGACAGGCGTTCGTGCGTCCCGATTCCAGTCCAATACCACCATGCAAGCAAGATTAGGTAAAGTCAAGCCTCCATACACACTCATGTCTCTCGCAATCGAAACATCCCAAATTTCAGCTCGCTGTAACAAAGTACTCAACGCTGTCTCTGATAATGTCACAGCTAGTCTGTTAGGGCTTAAGCAGTTACAGGGAAAAAAGAGTGATCGTGAACGAATTCATGGGATATTTCCACGGAGGTTGCCAAATGAACCGCATACAGGAGAACATGAAAGAATGTTCAATAAAGTAAGGAACCATCAGCTCGGTGGCTTAGAGGAATGCCAACCCGGACGTGATGAACCGCAGCGGCCTTTGGATCACCATTAGTGCGCGACCAGAGGTAAGAAGAAACCGACAGGGAAGTCAGTCTAAAAACCCATCTTGGAACTTGGGTCTTCGTTTCAGACAGATAGAGTCCAGCGCACGAATGGGAATCGTCTATTACCCGACTTATCCCACCGAGAATGCCAGGAAGTGCGAATGACAAACAATGTTGAAGTGTCTATGGCTGTTGCGACTAGACGCAATGAGAAACGAGCGGCATCATAAGTCGTTGAGGAACGACCTATGGAAAGATCATTGGCAACGGGGCAAAGAACGAGTAGGTTCTTAGCAGCCCTACTGTGAAGCTACCGTCCACATTCAAACCCCAAAATTAGAAGAACAGGAGACCTGGTTAGTTAGGTTTCTACTCACTGACAAATTGCAATGAAAGGTTCTCCGAGTATCATATACAAACTTCCGGGCATAACCCACTGGATTACTGAGGTGCACAAACCGTCACCGCGCGATAAGGTTCCAACTATGCGACGGTTTTATCTACTGTGGAAAAGTTGAACCTGTACACTTGTGCCCATGGAGGATTTTAACTTAATGCTTTTTCGAAGCAATGCTGTATAGTTAGTACGGTGGTTAAAAAGTTCTGGTGTTCTTTCCTCACCCGACAAGATCACCATCGAACCCTAAATTCATTGCCGATACAGCGACTGAGATGAATACCGGAACGGCTTTCCATTCTCAGTTACATCGATTGGTCTATTGCGAATTTGAACAGTAACAGCAAAAACTAGCAAACTTATCCTACATCAGAGTTGAATTCAAATGCGAAAATTCGTTGCCCATTCACACAGAAACGAGACCATCTCAACGTCGGTGAACGCCATATAAGGTGCGAAGAATTCGCCGCATTGAACATCAACCAAAAACGTATCACCGTTTTGTGCATCAAATTCTTGAGGCGATGAAACGTACTTTAGTTAAGTAGCTTCTTATCAGGAAGGTCAGCTTCCTGAAAGCAACCACTGAGCCCGGAACCTACGGAGACTCTCAGCTCCGCTGGGTGTTGACCAGACAGACAACGCCCCCTCAATATGCAGCGCGTCACAGCCTTGCATCAAACCCAGACAGCGCGAGTCAGCGTTGATCAAGGACAGACAACGCCTCCGCAGTATGCAGCACGTCGCTGCCTCGTACTAAAGCCAGACCGCGTGCGTCAGCATTGGACCAAGTTCAGACAGTGTCCTTCCAATAAAAAGCTTGAGGCCGTTGTACTTTTCGCACTCGCGCTCTCGCAACCACTTTGTTGGAATATAGCTATTGTGTTCCCTTCCGTCAGTCTTTTTCTCTCCGACACTAGGCTGGAGCGGGTCAGCAGCAGATACCACAGGCCGGCGAATCAGCAGATATAACACTTCTCGCATTTGGAGGAGCGAGAGCACCGCATCCAAATAAACGCAAGACAGAAAATCCCATTCCACGTGGATATGAAATGTGTCGCCCTTCAATGCTGCTTTCGACCTGTCGTTGGGACACTTCGTTACTGGTCAAGTGCGGTATTGAGGCTCCTAACACCTTGATAGTGAACTACCACTTCGGTGACATGGAAGCGGGTCATGTTGTGGCCAGGTGAAGCTTACCATTGCATGCGTTATCCTTCTAAGTCCATGACTACGCTGCGTTGTTCACGTCACATTCGACTTCTGGTAGGGTTACCGTTGGAAGTTTTACATGCCCTTCACAGCACTCCATTGACTGACATGATCTAACAGTGATGCAGTAAAGCGAAATCGCTTTAGGTGACATCCATCATATGTTAACCGGGTGACCAGCGTCAACATACTAGGAGGCAGAAACAGAAGATAGGGAACGTCCACGAAAGCCTTGGGACAGTGTTGAGATATTTCTACTAATCGGTTGAATTCCACTCGAGTTGCCAGTAGTACTGTCCCAGTATTCTTCTGGTACATCTATGCCCTCCAACTTGGTTTCATAATGTCGTTGCATCCGATTTGACTCTCATTTCATTCCAATTCATTTGAAACGTCACACTTCAGATTTAAAGAACTCATTATAACGGCACCATCCATACTGATGAGAAAAGTGCTGTTATAACGAAGTCGACTGAGCAGTTAAAGCTTTGCTCTGGGAATGGGACTCCAGTGTGCCAATGAGATAGGCTCTTTCTTTTTAACTCTGCCTGTGTCGACCCTATTCACTAACCAACCACAAGTCTCTTTTCGATTGGGACCGTCAGCCGTTTCCACCTCAATGGGACGTGTATCATCTGCCCTTTGTTCCGGCAGATTCCCCCTCGTTATTTAGTGTGCAGTTGACCGCAAAAGTCTGAAGAGTCGAGGCTAGTTTGTTTCACAATGTCCTATTTAACAGTGTCGCGTTGACCGGGTTATCCTAAGTGTTCTGTTGTGTCAGGATCATGTTTCACTCAACACCGAAGTCAGAGATATTACACTGGTATTAAGGTTGATCACACATGGTTCTATTCGCTCTGCTGTGCGGACCAATTAGGTGTTGCTGCCCAGGAGACACCGCTGCCAAATCACGTCAGTAATAACTATACCGTGTAAGGTGGATGTCACAGTCATCAAAATTCAAACCAAGTAAAGTAAAGCAAAGTACAGTTCGGAGATGAGATAGCCAACATTTTTCTCGCTATACAGTGGAGGAATTATCTAGGCTTACAACATGCGCACCAAAGATTGTTCAGTGACTGAAAGTTTGTGGAGTTCACTGTTCGTGCCATACAGCTCGTCACGATGGGTGATTGTGGATGAGGTGATCAGGATAAGTGAACGGAGTACGGGAGGACACAGCACCGTAAGCATGTATTCGGAAAGTTGAGACGAACGGGTCAGTGATATATACCTGTACCTAAGGTGAGCTCTCTTCCGAAGTAACATGGACAAAACAAGGCATCTGTACATAAAACCAATGTTGGAATGAAGAAACGGAACATCGTCGTGATAATCTACTGTGCTCACATGAAGCAGGTAAGTTCAATCCAGATGGCGAGATACGAAGGTGTTAAGTGCAGTCTTGTCACTTAGATAACCAGTCTTGAACACTTACCCATATTGAGCTGTGAGAATTGGTTCTTTACAAACTGTTCCAGCTGACTGCCAGCTATCCAGACATCAGAGTCCGCAGCATTGTACAGTTCGGCATTATAAAACATCGTCCCCAAATCACAGGCAAAGTTGCGTAGACCTTCTTTCGGGTCAGCAGCGTCATATCGGCCATCGGAAATCCAAGCCCTGACCATACCCAAGTCAATTGGGTCGGTGATGATCTCATAATAGTCAGGAACCTGGCGATAGAAGAGAGAGAGGGGGGGGGAGAAAGATGAACAACGATTTATCGATACTCTGCACCGCTATTGTGAGCAAAAGGAACGTCAAAAATGGCCATTTTAAAGTCAAAACATCGAACACAGGGTCATACAACAGTAGGAAAACAACCGAGTATACGTGTGTCATCGGTCATACAGTTGTACTGTGTACACACACATCCGTGTGCTCACAGCAGCTTGCATTGCATTGTGTCCAAACGGATTTTTTCGCAAGTTCGGACAGGCATAGGTTCATCAACATGGCAAGTCCTAAACATGACCGGATTGATCGTTGCACAAAGAAACCGAACGTAACAGAGAGCACGTGGTACAAATGTGACTTGTTTATTCGTCGGTCATGCACATTGCAAGACGCTGTTTTTGGACAGACTGAAAAGATTGGTGACATTAACAGGTTTGGGATGGTGAAGTACGAGTGATGAGTTTTACTGCACCGGTGAGAGCGGCTGATACGAGATAACCATATAATCTAACTACATGGGCTTACCCATGCTGGGCAAAAACTCAAGACGCTGAAGAATACTAGCCGACGCAGCGACCTAGAAAACCCTCACCGCGCCAATGAGACTGCATGCATTCACGCCTGTTGAGCTCCGTATGTCGATTTCATGGAGATCAGTATAAAGGCAAGAAAAAAAGATGTTTACTTCTTTCAGACTGAACTCGAGCTGCCGGAACGAACTGATAGCCAACTTACCTCTTCTCTGTCTACCGGCTCCCGGAAAGGCCAAGCACATTTATGTCGGTAGATTGCATTTAGAATGCGTGTAACACATGTACGCACATCCACTTTGCTTTTTCTAGTGGACTCAACGCGCGGCTCTGACTCTGAAGACGATGCTGATGAGGCCTCGGAGCTAGCTGAAGAGTCTAACCGTCGACGTTTAGTTTGGCGTATGGAACGCGCACCGGAGGACCTCTTTGGTACAGATGTAGATCGCTTGGAACGCCTTAGTCTTCCAGGCGTTTCCGTATCTTGCTCCGTATCAGACTCGTCCGCCTCAGTTGTTTCTTGATCACGCCAGGTTGAGGTTAGTTTTCGAGATGAGGAAGAACGACTTATCCGAGTACTTGGATGAACTGCAATATCATCATCACCGGAAGCCTCGATAGTTGATCTCGGAAGTCCACAGGAGGCTAGGTATCTGAGTTGGAGAGAGAGGAAAAAGCTACAAATGCATTTATTTTGGGTGAAATTGTGCAAGCGAGTGCTATTTTTCAATTGAGACAGTCCTGATACGAGCACTGCAAAGGACAGGAAAAAGATCAAAAGAATACACCAATAGAATGAAACATGTGCATGAAAGTGCAACCAAACGTACTGAGTACGACGTTTGTTCCTCGGCAAGTACTTCGGACCGAAAAAGTTGTTTTTGCGCCCGGACGTTCGACAACTGGTACACAACCACACATCACCCCGAGGTGGATGACGCAGTGGTGGGTTGTGGCAGGACAAGTGGAAGGCATTGGGGCAATTGGTACAGTGGACCAACTCGGATGAGGACGTCGCCTCCGCACAGACGAGACAGGTTGTGTCATGCTTGGGCCCGACCTTGTCACGAGCTGAAACATACAAGGATGAGAGAGACCAGTCAGCGAACCGGACGCTCCTTTTATGGGACGGTTATGAGGGACGTTGGGGTAGGTGTGCAGTCATACAATCGTAACTAACTGACGGGTTCGCTAGAATCAGTATGACCACAATTTTTGGATGACGTTCTCACTTGACGGCAACACTGAGTAGTCATACCCAACGAATGAGTCAAATAAAATCACACGAAACTTTTCCATACTCCAGGCGTGTTCGCTGGACCTATACGGAATGTGGCGCTTCCACTTGAGCATGCTGTGTGCGATCCCACTTTACTGCAACCTGCTTCATATAACCTTGGGCAGTATCAGGAACAGACTGAGTGGCAGCAGCTGGCCACAGGAATCGCTGTCCGACCCAGCGGTCGAACGCCTCAGTGAGCACCTTGAGCATATCCCTCTCCATGTGCGGCATCTCACATGGCGATACAGTTGACAAGTAAGAGAAGGGAATGCTCCTGGGAAATCTCCAAAAGAAAGTGGAAGTGAACAAGTATACCGGTTATATGAAGTATCTCAAGAGTACATCCTAACAAATTCCTATACGGCAGACATAGCGCTGGTTACACTGTAAGAATGGAGAAAGAAAATCACCAACAGAACCAGAGAGTGGAAAAATATGCATCAGAAGTGATATCGGACCAAGCGATCTTGCGCCGAAGATGTTCGACAGCCTTCACCTATTCATTCGCCGGATGCCATTCCTGAGATGCATATCCTCCGAGAAAAGTATCGAATACGGGTAGCTAAACCATTACAACAAAAATCGCTAGATTTTTTGTCTCCCGTAGATCAACGGAATCACCCTATCTTGGTTCTTCTTCCTCCATCAAGTAAAGCAGTATCGAGAAACATGTAATTGCGGAGTTAGAAGCCTCACCCTTCCAAGACAGTGCGTAACCTCAACTGGTCTAATGGTAAACGCATTTTGGGGAATTATCGTACAAAAATCGTTACGGACCGTCCGGTTGGTAATTTCGCGCCTTAACTAATGGGAGATCCCGAGCTCGGATGATGCGCAGCCTTCTAACTTATGTCCAGACCCAGTGGTTCGGCGATGCTCCTGCGACGGGAGATGCCATAGGAGTTTTTCGTGTGCGAGGAAACAGCTTTGGAGGCTTTTCTCTCGTTAATGAGTCCTAACCATTCAGGATGTAATAGCCAAAGATCAAGGGATAACAGTGAGGAGCGAGGGAGATACTGTAGTTTGCATTACGGGGTTGTCGTTAGAGATCAAATACAAAAGCATTAAACCAACATACTTACCAGCAGATTCGCGTTCAGGGACGACAGAGTCTTCATCCTCTGAGGAGGCAACGTCTTGCCGTCGGCGCCGACGTTCAGACCGAGCAAGTCTGGCCTCACGACGGCGGCGTTCCAAGTCTCGCGACGCTGGTCGACAAGATGGACAGTACCAATCACCAGCGGGGACACGGCGTAATGGGGGACGCAAGCAGTAGAGGTGGAACGCGCGGTTACAACCGTCACACAGTAATAAGTTATCATCATCGCTTTTGTGGCGACAGATGCGGCACCGGGCATCCTCCACGGACTTTTCCCACCGTATACACGCGTCCAAACAGGCCTACCGGACAAAGTCAAAGAAGACAACCGATTCAAGGATTATGCGAAAGCAATCAGGCAACCAAGCAAGACAATTTTCACGTGACAGAAAATATACAAACTTAGGAGGAGCCCTATTTCACAAACGGCAGAACTAAAAATAAAGACGAGTGTAGGATACCAAAACAATAAGATTCCTCTACGGCGACTGCTGATGGACTATGTAAAAACAGACGATAAGAAGGAATGGATGCCGCATAGGATGTTGTGACTTTGCGCCAACTCGTAAGGTTAACTGTAAACGTATTTCACCCGTATCCCTTTGTTTTTTAACAGCACGATTGGCTGAGCAAGCCTGGGTAAATTTGATCCATCTGCAAGAAAGAAAATGGCGACACGAGATCGGTTGAAAGTGACCACGGTAGAGGCTTCGTTGTAACTCCAGGCCGGTGGAACATCTCCAATCGCAATCAAGCCTCCTTAACTACACCTTTGATTAACTCACTCTGTTCATTCACCGTAACAGAAAACCGCACTTCAACACAGGAGTTGATATTGCTGAATGAACATCAATCAGATGGTAGACAAGAGCAAACAAGAAGTGGGTTGCTATGAGTTTTTCAGTTTTGGTGACCAACAAGTGCAGCACCAGAGTGGCGCAGATAGATCGATATATCGGTGCCTGAGTTTGACTCAGTGTTGAGTCAGGTATGGATCAGTATGGTAAATCTATAGTCCAGTGATGAAAATGGTACCAAGTTAATGAAATCCGCAGTTGGTTCCACTGATAGGACAAACGGTTCGTCAGTGAGGCGGAAAGTATTGCATTCACAACACTCTCGTTTGAACGGTCCACCTTTAATCCTGGCACAATTATTCCGTTGAGTCTACACCAAGGACAGGAGCACTGGATCGAGTTTCGCGCTTATTAAAGCTCGAATGCAGTGCATATCCTTGGCCTTTTCGACATTTGAATTCCGGACATTTGACAGGTGAGGTGAGCGTGTTTCTACTGTTAAGCGAGTACACTGGACGTTGGACACAACCGAATTATCACGCCTGAACAGCCAGACATATTCAAGCTTGAGCGATGTGATTGGTTCGTCCAACGGCTCGAACGATGACCTTTAATTGTCCTGATTGTGTCCATCGATTACCCTGCCGTCAGGGTTTTCCAGTGAAGTGGCGTCACATACCCTTGAAATCTGTTGGACAATTTTCGATTAGGTGCAGGTGGTCCCGGTGTTTGCAAGATTTGTATTCTCTTTCACTCGTAAAGCAACCATTAATTGTGTGTAAGGAGGACTTAAAGTAAACCAGGTAAACCTCACGCCAGCGAAGAAACAAGCAAAACGGTAATACTACATTCACATGTTTTCTGTGCATCTACGGTGCAACAAGTGGTTATCCAACTTGGAGGCAACCAGTGCGGAACTAATTTTTAAATCCAATGTTACAGTCTGGGACGAAACCAACAAACAGTGACGGTGTCATGAATGAACATTTGAATACAGACGGTAAGATGGTACAACCTACGCCGTGTGTGCGGGCAATGCAGCTGTAACAACTACAAACACTAAGAGCAGAGTGTACAGGTCTCATGTCAACAGAAAACTGATGGATCCTGGTTAAGCTTTAGAAATTAGCACTAACGACGTTTTCGATGTCTGCCTAACACTAATCAACAAGCCACCAAAAATTGAGGGCACATAACAAGCATCGCAGGTATCACAAGTATCCAGACCTAGGTTTCTTTACTGGCTACGTCATGGGCACTCGAGCTTTCCCAATTTGACATACACATTCGCAGATACTGTCCTCTAACACACATGGTTCAGGACCAGTGGTAGGAGCGCGAATTTACTGACCGGAAGGTCAGTGGTTCAAACCCGGTCATGCATCTCAACTTCTCCTGTCTAAGCTTGGGCAACCTGGAAGTATCTGAGCCCCCGTGCTTACTTCGGGTGGTATGGCAGCTAGGCACCGGAAAGGTGCTACAACTGAGCGATTATTATTATTATTGGTATTATAATGATAACATTTAAGAATTTCATACCAAGACGTGTCACAAAACATCATTAAATGAGTATTAAAGTGAAGGTCGAAAAGCTCGGAACAACGGTTGAATAGGACTTTTGAGCACACGCTCCAGAAGAATGTCACCTAATGAATCAATTTGGCCTTTGTGAAAACCGCTAGACAAGGTCTCTTCGTCAGTCCGTCTGAATAATCCGATTCAATAGTAGAGTTGGAAGTGTGTTCGTAAATCAACCGGTCCAAAAAGAACAGGAAAAGCGCGGACCGTGACAAGCCGGGGTTGCTTAAGCAAACAAACGATCGGAGAGGCATTGGTGGATTCGAAGTTGTGGTCAGCACACCGCACCTCAATCTCCAAGCTGCATCAATCTCTAACGGACACTGGAATTCTTTGAAATAAGGCAACACTTTAATGAAGACTGACATGATAATCCTCCATCAGACAGGACCATACGACACATGAGTGAGGTCGTGTACTCGCGAAATGAAATGGGTACAACTCACATGTAATAAATTCAGACGGGCCAAGGTTCGTGCATTCACTACTTCGTTACGCCAGGCCGCTAACCACGTGCGTGTTCGGGTTGCGTGCAAGTCCGGGTCCCTCAACAGATGATCCGTAGCGGATGAGGATTGGGAGGAATCTGAGTCCGACTCACTCGTTTCTTCGGTGGACTGAGTGGCATCTGGTTCTTCAATAGCGTCTCTCCCACCATTTGCCTTATCCGTGTCTGATAATCCGTCCTTATTGCGCTTCCGTGTAGTCTTCTCAGTTAAATCGGGAACATTCAGGAATCGCGGCATCACATTGTCTGCCACGGCCAACAGGGCGTTGACAAGCCCAAGACGGTCCGGTTGCCGTGGCGACCCAATAGGTTTGGGTGGCAAGTTTTTCTTTGGTGAGGTTTCTGGAGGCAAGCCGAATGATGCGTGCACGTCAGCCAAGTTTTCCTGCCACCTAGTGAAGTCAGGCACGCCACCAAGTCCACCAGAGCGAAGGCGGACTTCGGTATCCAGTATATTCTAGAAAATGACAAAGGAATGGAAACATGAGTCAACTGTCCATGAACCACGAGTGGTGCACAAAATTAGAGTTTAGTGAAAGAAGAAACCTTCCTAACCGTCTATTGGCAATTGGGAAAATGTAACTGCCGAGTTTCGACAAGGTGGGATACCGGCACAAATATCGAGACACGAACTGTGATTTCTCATCAGAAGGGTGAACAGGGTGAACTGAGATTTAGACTGAGAAGCCTGAAACTAGTTTCGACATGTAAAACCAGGGAAGCGCAACAACTGAAAGTGAGCGAGAAGTAATCTGGGCTTGAGGGATACTCCCCGAATTATGCAGGCTTACCAGAAAAGCCGAGGTTAAGTCGTTTGATGCAGAATAAGCGAAAACTGACATCAATGAATGGTACTCAGTTAGCTGACAAGAGAAACCCAATAGTCGTCTTTTGGATATTGTTGATGTACATCTATGGCGGAAAACTCCCTGCTTATACCGGAGTGACTAAATAAGGTATCTGTCTAGTTCCCTAATTGCACCTGCCTTCTGTAATATACTAGCGTCCCATATGACCATGAGATGGGGACTCTGGGACAGCAAGGCTGAACTGTTTCAGATAATGATGCAGTCGAAATAATAGTGTGATTTCATTACAGCAGACGATCATTCCAAGCTCGTTCGGACTTTTGTTGGTACATTTTGAAAGTCTAGTGGATTGTGAAAAACAAAGTCAAATAGGGTTTCTCAAGCATTGACTGAAAGTGAGCGTGAGGACAACACGGACGTAAGTCAACTGATTTCAGAAAGTAGCGGTAGCAGAAAAATGAAAACAACACTGATCACTCGAGGAATACCAGAGGTAATGACGAAAAGAGCTAAATGAACTGCCAACTGAAGGTAAGAGAATGTCCAACGTGTTTGTAATCATTCTTGGTTATATCTATTCGGAGTGTCCTGTTACAGCCCCCCTTCTCGAATTTGGTCGTAACGACAGATACAGAGCACACAGGGTCCCAGAAATGCAGCTTTCGGACCTGTCAACGAGCCGAATCCGGATACACTGTCGAATCGATAAGTCCACGAGGGAGTAGGAAATGGCAGCGACAAAATGGATTACACGCCTAACACCGCATGCACACTCGAGCCCGCCATGGGAGATCTTCGGTCCCACTTGAATATGGAGCATATTAATGTAGTGAACGATAGAGTACTACTCTTCTGGTCCCCTCTTGTTCGCCTCTAACACGTCGACTTATAGTTCCAGGTGCTACTGGAATGTACTGTTTAAAGAGGTCTGGTAGCCGATAAAACTGATACTCGGCCGCATTCCGGGTTTGTGACAGCAGTCCTGAGCAGCATAACGCAATGAATATGGTCCTGTAGTTTCGGTGATAACGGTGTCTGCCGTTGTCCGACTAAGGTGAAATAAATATAAGGTTTAACACAAAATACACACCAGGACCTTAAGTTCCAAAATCAAGAAGGCGCAAGTCCACACTACAGGTTTGTACGGTCAAAAATGTGGCCAGGTGTCAACCGATTGCTCCAAAACTAACTTATTAGACTAAGGTAACATCACCTCAAGACGCGTGGCCGTAAAATGTAATCGGCTGGAGGCAAACAGAATGATGAATCCGATCCCAGTATACTGAGAAAGTGCATGAACTTACCTTCAGTAAGGCACCTGCAAGCGCCGCCCCAGCATCCAAAAAACGCTTTCCAGAAACTCGTTCAACAACTTTTTCCATACTGAAAATTAAAACCGAGAGGAACCATCTCAGGTAGGGAAACTTTTTTGGAGAAAAAAGTAACACGCGAATAGTGTCAAAGAAAGCTACTGTAACAGCTCCCATTAGGTGATAAAGCCTACAGTGTCGAGCAGCGATTCCCAGCGACCTGGCTGTCGCGGGGAAATAACAAACATACGATTATTGATCACGAGAGGAGTTGGAGAAATGCTTAAGATATTATGCACTTGAATAGATAAAACAAATTCAGCAACTACCGACGGGACCGGTCAAAAGCGGTCGCTCCAGAGAAGTCCGATTTCGTAATAGATCATCACTCAGCGTTTGCAAGCAAAGTCAAATGAATTGGATAAGACATTCCACTTTATACTTCTACTTCGCAGACAACGGAGCTCGGTAGATGGCGGGAACATACTCGCCCCAGTGGGTGTTACCAAAAATACATAATCTCGTCATTATATGGCTTTCAAAAACATGAATTAAACGGGATGGGGGGGGGGGGTACCGTACCAGTATGTCCCTCCCCAAGGATGATAATAAATCATTTCATCTAAACGTACTACTTCAGACTTGGCCTCATCTGGTATGAACGGTGTGCAGACCTAAATAATGTGCACGTTGATGGCAAAACTGAGTACTGCCGCTATGCAAGTTCAATTCGAATTCGACACAATATTAGTTTGACATCCATTACAACGCCTCCAACCACCGATGCCCACAGGCTCCCGCAAAACAATTTTTTGTTGCAGAACCCTTTCATTAACATCCGGTATGCGACACCCTAACCCTAGTCCCTAGGCTGCAGAGCGCATACGTCAGCTTTTTTCAGTCTGTAGAGCAAGGTTTCGGCATATCCACCTTGCCCGGTAGCAACGAAAATCGATCAGCGTAGACGTATGAGCATGCTTACAGCAATTACTGAGGAGTCAAACACAACCGAATCACGTGGTAAAATGGAGAGAAGCGGCTAAAATGGACGCACCTGAGCTACCAATATTCTGGTGCATTCCCAATATAAAAACGAGGCACGCAAAGTGGAGTAGCTCAGGGTGATCCGCCACAGCCAGCCACAGCTTGGGGCTGTGGCTGCACGGTTTGTATAATTAGCTTTTCGGAATGGTCCGTTGGATCACCAGGTCAACCTAATCAAAATGGGTAAAGCCTATGCGGTCGATAATCAGATAAGAGAAGCACATGCTCCAAAAAAACGGGCGTTTTGCACCATTTCACTGCGTTGAACACAGCCTGTTAGGCGAGTAGGATCAATAATAGGAAATAATAATAATAAAAATAATACATAGCAATGATAAACAGAATCATTCAGTAAATCGGTGGTAAGACCTTGCGGTACAAGAAAAGCGAGGCGAAAATGGCTCTTGCACGCGACACAGCCCGGAACTCCGTGAGCGCTGAAAACAGAATGCGATTGGACTGTACGGAGAACCAGTTGCAGTCTCAAAACCGTCGACCTTACACGCAGTTCCTGTGCGGTAAGAATTACTCTCCCATGGTTGAAATTAAGGGACTTCAGAAACTGGGAGATGAATACGGTAAAACTCAAAGAGACAAAGGCCCCAATGATAAAGTCTTCTTAGGTATGGAACGCGGAAAGTTGTGGAAACCCAGGATTTAAAACCCACAACATACTGTTCGCCTGAAGAACTTTTGGGAGTTTCAGTCACCGAATCGGTAGCTTCAACAGCTGAACATTCTGAATGAGTAGTGGCAGATGTTATCTTCTTTTTCCAATGTGATTTGATCGAATCTAACAAACTGTCGGTAAAAAGATGCCGCTTAAGACGACTTTCCCGAATTCCTCGTTCAAGAAGCGCCGAGGCTAGTTCGTCCAGCTGTTCCGGTTTGTCGTACATTGACCAAGAGCTCCAGCTGCTACCCACGGAAATGCTACCAGGTGAATAAGGAGTGACTAGATGCGCTGGTGCGGGTACAGTCGTCTCCCGTTCTTCAACATCACGAGAACCTGTGTGCTCGTCTTTCGTGAGGTCAATGTAATCATCGGTTGGACCTAAAAAGAAAAAAGTAACCTAGTTAAAAGTTTGTTCCGCGATAAAACACATTCCTCTAGGATGTAGGGAAGCTTAGAAAGTACCAAAAATGTTGCTAGACAATCCAGGACAACGGCACTCGGTCTCATAACAAATGCAATCACGAACCTTGTGGCTGAAGCACTGAATAGTTTACGTATGGGCTAGCCCAATCGGACTCAACGAACAGGCGATCCGGAGCACAGCGGAAAAACCAGATCCGGCGATGATACCGATCGAAACCGATAGGTTGACAACGAAGAGCCAGATGTGCCTCAGCTTTGCAGAGTTCATAGGCTTTCGATACTTGGGCAAGGAGTCGCTCTTCAGCAACAACCTTTGTCTGCGCAGCCCGACGTTCACGTTCTTGTGCTTCTTTCTCTTCCCGCTCTGCTGCAGCTCGCGCAGCAAGAATACGACGGCGTTTCACAATAGAAGCCAGATCATCTACAAGGAACGGAAATTTGAATTTGGACGATGGACATTCGAGACGAGACAGGCGTTTCACCAAGTACGTTCACTGATAGCCTACTGGTAAAGTGCGACAACAGAACACGCGTGCCCTAAAGGCTATTCACGAAACAACTGATAACGTACCATCAGCACCTTCCGCTCCATCGCCATCTGCAGGAGTTGTAGGAGTACCTGGCTCAACTTTAGTCTCAGCCGAAGGTGTCTTGGATTCCTCGTGTTTTTTCCGCCCACTACTACCGTCCCTTTGATGATCTTCCTCTTTCTTTCGCACATTTCGGTCACGCATAAATTTAATCTTTCTGTTATGCGCCTGAAGAGCACGGCGTTGGCAGGCAAGAATATGATCATCAATCAAGTCCAGATCAAAAAGTCTCTGAACTACAGTTTCCAGGACAACAAGACGACTTTCAGGACAGAGCTGGTAGACATCGAATGTGGTGAGTTTATGGAGGAGGGCGTGAAGGTTATCTTGATGAAAGTAGTCCTGTAAAGGAAGTTTTAAGCAGCTGATGAACACAGAGGCAGACGAAAAAATTAATGAAGTGTCTGCAATGACGGCTTTCTGAAGGGCCATTACTACTTTCGATAGAACCCGAACTGGATAAGCCATAAGAATCTTATCGATAAGAATGCGTTTCAAAATGATGGTCCAACTCTACATGAGATAGCAAGGATTCTGATGACAAAAAATGTAAGATAATATAGCAATCGCCCAATACAGGGACGGATCAAATTGGTCTAACTGAGGAAACTTAATCGATGAGACGATCTCCACTAGTTTAGACAAAAGTGGTCTCTTCGAAAGGATGGTTTCTCCAGAGCAAAACAAGTATGCAAGGTTGTTATGAACCCAACCTAAATCCGCCACCAATTTTCAGAATGCTCCAATTAGGGGGTTGAAAATGGAGGTTTAGTAACTCAGTTCAGAATCTGAGTTCTAATCAATAGAAGACTGTGACGAAGTTTAGTATCTTGCAGCCATAAATGATGGAAAGTTTTACATTTTGTGTATAACTATATGGCACACCAAAACTTACTGCCGTAGAAACATGGGAGTCCCCATTCTCGTTGTCAGCAGAACTTTCCAGACGAATTAGTTGGGACTTTTGCGTAGAGTCAGTGGTTTCGTGTAGCAAGGTCAAACGAAGCAATTCAGGAGCGGTGTACGGAGTGACGGGGAGCTTTGCTAAGCGAATGCCAAGTTCACGTCTTTTCTGTGGAAGGAAGTTGAGTAACGATTAACCAAAGGATTATAAAAAAGACTGCCCTCTGACAGTAAATAATCCTTAGCGTTCACAAAAGTAGTTACAAGTTTCATAAGCAGTCACCCATCTTGAGACAAGGATGAATACTGTACCGCATTGCGATAGACCGCCTTAGTGGTCAAACAGTCTTTGTGCTCATTCACTACAATTTATGCAGAACAAGTGACATCTACAAGGTAAAAGCAACTGTACGCGTGTTCACTTTAAACAGCCTACTACAGGCTAGCGTGGAACGTTTATATGAGCAGTTCCGATTCCGGATATGAATAGAGGACAACGCTACTGAGAGCTTATGGCAATCAAATGCCGATTCGGTTTGTGGAAAGGTGAATGTACTCGTGACGGTCAGAACCATTAAAGCGTTTATATGAAATGAGGTTGTTTGTTTAGTAAGACAAAAAACTGAAAGTCAGATTTTATTAGCAAGAAACAAAAGGAAACACTATGGTGAAGTACAAGTACCACTCAGTGCTTGCAATATCAGCTGTAGTCACTTAATCCCTTGTCATCAGATTACGTATCACCAAGTAAGTTAGAACAGTCTTATGTAGATTGTCAAATGGGGTCTCCAGGCAAACCGTTGGTCTTTTAGATCAAACAGTCGACCCGAAAGAGAGACCAGATCCAGAGACCATCCATCAGCGGCATTTTGACATCAACATTTTATTTTACTTAAGAGCGAAACCGAATATTTGTAAAAGTATATGGACATGAACAGCTACAAATTGTACATGGTCCGATACCATCCTACACACGACCATGCCAAAGAAGTAACATGGCGTAGATTAGTAGTAGTTGGTCAGTTTGATCGAAAGGAATAAATGGGTCGATCTCACACGATACAATGACGAGGTCATAGAACGCGTTCACTAAGATGCACGAAATTCCTTGTGGAATCAAAATGTGGCAATTGTGTGATCCTAGAAATGGAGGTTCATGATAGCCGTTTAAATGATTTAACAGCGTGTTATGCTTGGTGATACTTGTAAGGGAGGAAGCGTTTAGACAATTCACCAAAGGTTTTTTGGTATCAAGCAAGTAAGTACATATATATATATATATAT